GGATGTAACTTCTAATTTAATGATGAGCTAAATTAAAATTACATAAATAAAATTTTATTGGACCATGGTCCTCAAATCAGACGTAAGATTTTCTTTTCTGATATCCCGTCGATGCAAGAGAGCGTCAGCTGCTTACGTCTTGATTGGAAGATTCATACGATGAATTTCATCGTCTCTCATGGATTCAGGCATATGCTTTCGCATCTAGTTTTCGTTTTTGATAATTTGACATCATAAGTCTTGGAAAAGGTGATGGATTTCGTCTTAAAATTTTGGTTCTAACACGTACATGGCCTATATACCACTAATAATTTCACTAATAGGAAATAATTTCAAGCCTTTAGTGATATTCTTCCAAAAGGATAAATGCAAGTCCAATATTTCTTCTAAAGTGAAAAACAGAACCAAATTTTCTAAATTTTAAATCCATAACTAGACACTAAGAATTTCTTTCGAAAGAACAGAAAACCAGTTTGTAGGATGTTCTGTAATTAAAACACCAAGAAGTAGTATACCTTGTGAAGATGGATTTTAGGATATAGAAAAAATGTCATACGTAGGTTATGGTCTTTGGCCATGCACATCTATGATTTAAAGTTTATGGATTATGAACTCGCCGCCCAACCAGTGGCAGAGTCATAATTTTCATTAAAGCGGTCAAAATATAAATAAGCAAGTACATGAAAAAATTAAGGGGAGTCAACACATAGTATATATACATAAAAATAAAATATTTAACCTATCTATGCGGTATAGTTTCCGGAGGGGTGTCAATTGACTCCCCTCGCCAATGAGTGGCTCCGCTACAGCGCCCAACCTATAATTTATCATAATTACAGTTTATAATTAAATATTTATACATATAAGTTTCCTTATCTTATATAGGTTCTAAGCAAAAGTTACTGAATTCATCCGAAGTTTTAGCTAAATACCCTAGCTCCCCCTAGTCTTTAACTTCCACTATGTAGGCTAACGTGCGCAAATTTGTTTTATTTTAGTTCAAGAAAATTTTGTAGGAACATCCATAATTTTCAACTGTAAATGAGACTTTCAAAACCCAATTTCACGGGTGTGGGGTTTGACTTTGGGTAAGGGAAGCTAGCTTGGAAAGATTCAAAAATTCAGTCAAGTCTGGGCAGGTGTGTGAACTTTGGTCCGTGAGCTTTAATGTCGTCTTTTTCACTCACTTCCCTTATGTATTTCAGGAGACATGTTTGTATTTGGCCCTACACATTAAACCCTATTAAATTAATTAATTTGAAGATTATTGTACAGTCCCTTTTTGATTACTTAGTTGATTATCCTTTTTGTTTGACATCATTATATTCAGTACTAGCTGCACGACTGTTCGAAGTCAAGAAACTTCTACGTCAAACCCAAAATATTTCTTTTATACTATTTTATATGCGGTACTTATTGATCTGACTAAACTAAATTCGTCAATAACACGTAAGACCCCATTAAAATGGAAATAGTTCATATAAAGAATTTCTCCGTTGCCAAAAATCGGATGTGAAACCCATAATTAAAGGTGGAGGGTTTCATTCATTCCACCATTATTCTTTGGTGCAAACCCAAGATACTTAAGTTAACAGCTCCTTTACTAATGACTTAAGGTTTAAAAAAAAGTTGAAATAGTTGTTCTTTTGTTTTTCTGGTAGGAGGTAAAAAGCAGAGGCGGATCTACCCTTTGGGTAGAGGAGGTCACAAGCCCCCGGTAACTTTTAATATATATATATA